CTCTAGGATTATGCTCCTAAATATAGACACGACCAATTGCTTTATCAATCGCATTTGTAAATCTTAATATCACACGGATAGGGCCAATGACAAAAAAACGCGTTGTAGTCTAGTAGCAGCCAGTTACGCAAAGGTGTTGATTTTTATTGGAAACTTTATGTTCTGTTTGCTCTAGTTGCCAAGTGCTGCGTCCACAGAATCACCAGAAATAAAAAAGTTACGTACGGGTGGCTGAATACAAAAAGAATACAAATCAAAAGAAATCAGGATAGGAGTGCACAAATCTACTTGGGCTCATAGCCAAGGATGTGGCACATGCAACAAACAAATTGCCGGAACGCACTAACTGCGTGAGTGTTTTACGACGGATTGTTTGCAACAACTGGTGGAGATGATTGCAGAACACTTATCCACGAAAATGGCATTCATCAACCTGGCTGAGTCTATCAGCCAGTTGCTTCATGCCCTAATGCCGTGTTATCGGTGGGCGACCCCGCTCTTGCGCTCAACTTCTTGCCTCCACGGAGTATAACACAAGCCGAAGACTTCGGTCAACCGGCATATGGAAGGCGTTACCCATCCAGTGAAATTGGCTATGATTCAGCAATCACTCGTTTAATGTATCAGAAAGCTTCTTACCAAAAACAAATTTGTAAACCATAGCAGCACTCATCTGGTGCTCCCACCTGATGTGCGTAATACTCTGCAAGCTTCGGTAGCCAGACAAGTCCAATTGTGCAATGCCTGTGCTTTGAACTGGCCAAACCTCTGATCCCTATAGCAAAACCGGATTTATCGTAGCATTCTGCATCTTGCCGTTTGATGGCAGGCTAATATCCAGCAGTCTCCATAGAAGTTTGAGTCCCGGAAAGTAACACGGCCATTAATAATAAGCGATGTATGCTACGACCATGAGATTTGACACAGTTACCAAGTGGAGGGGTCCACCACTTTCAATGACTTACATTGGTAACTAAACCGATAGTTTATCTGTGCAATCGTGCCATAATTCTTGGTACTTTCAAAATACAAAACAAGATTGCACCTCAGTCTTTTCAACATTGCTTGCGAAGCCACAAAGTCAGATTGACGGAGAGTTTTACCATCCGGATACTCAAGATTTTACAGCCGATCGCCTGGTAAAACCTTCAGCTTAGAGGAACCGAACGAATGGAATCACTTACAAATGGTTGGATCACAAATTTGAAGAGAACAGAAGTTATGGGATAACCCTGACAAACCTCAGTTATAGTGGGAACTCTGGGGACAGCTTCCAGTGGACACTTGCCCACACTACAGAATCACAGTAAAGAAACTTCCCAAATGAAAGGAAATTTCCAGTCGTTCTATTCACAGACTTGTATTGACAAAACTCCGCTCCGGTAACAGAAATGAAAGTAGCTTTCAGGCCAAGGAACAACACTGTTGTCAGTCAACTGTAAGCGTGTCTCTGCCATAGTAAATATGGGAGTGTAATTTTATGGTCATGTTAACAACTGTTGCGAAAATAACTAAGAACTCCAATAAAGATATTTGCGATACGATAGGACGCAATGGAAAGAAAACTAATACACCAAGTCCATTAACTATATTAGTACGATGAGCGCAACGTTTGTCAGCCGACAGTCTGAAGGAACCTCAGCTGCACCATAAAAATGTTGAATAGAGAAGCAAATCCAGGCAACAAAGTCATCTCATCTTTCAGCAAAATTGATTTCCATTGGGTTCAGGAGCCTTTTTGCTCCGACACAGCAAGGTCATTGCGAATCTCTTCTGAACTTGGAGGTGTGTAATCTACTGCCCACGTCAGCTCAGGTGATTCGGCAAGCGGCAAGGTCGCACCAGACCTGCTAAGTTGCTCATCAAAATGTTCCGCTGGATGGGCTAGTCGACGAGGCTGAGAATGAAACAACTGTTCATTTTTCATAGCAATTATCTCTGTAAATATGGACTTCCTCGGACCCTTTTCTGGATGAGCTAAAAACGAACTCGAATGTTTCCAATAGTACTGGCTGTCTCCATCTTAAAGACTTTTGCCAGCCACCAACGTTCACGTCACAGCGAAGACTCTTTGCCAGTCGTTTTTTCAGGACGCTGAAAGTCAGTGTCCATGGAAATCTGCTTGTGTGCTTTTAGCAAAATGATCGATGCCATAGAGGACCATTCAGATTTCGAATAACTCAAGTTAGGCATTCAGCAGTTATAACTATTCTACACGGCACACTTCAGTCAACTCCAGTTAGCGTTTAAATCACTAACTTCATTCATCAGTTATAATCGGTGAGCCAGTCCGCCTCGATATAATGGATCAAAGGAATGTGAGTTCAGATTACAACTGAAAGCCTAGAGGTTAGGCGCTTACTGAAGCTGAGTGAAGTGAGCGCAATATGTTCTCGCAAACGGATTGGTCGGAATCCAGAGAAATGATTCACCTTTACCGATATATTGGACCGTTGGGTCATCTATAGCAGATGAAATTGCAAATCGTTTGGTTCCAGGCCATCAGGATATTCGATGGGGGCCTGATGACCCACACGTAACGTTTGTGCTGGAAGGCAGTTTTGCTAATATAATGACTATAGTCGGCATCTATTGATATGAATCGATCGCCAATCTCTTTTCGGAGTGCATCGATCACGAAACGAAATTCCAGCATTAAAGTGCTGTCAAGCTTAGCTCAATCGGTCTTGGACATACGTAAACCACCGCATTAAGTTACGCTCCGGTTTCGCCACGATGGAATCTCTGCTTCAAGCTACGCGTATTTGAGTAGACGTGATCAGTTGAATGCGTGGTGAAAAAGCACTCCAGTTGATCTAATCGGCAGCGAGTAACTGCAGGAGATGAGCTGCTGCACCACTTAATAACTTATAATTGTGTTGAAATTCCGAGATCTAGGTTTGTTGCAACGAGAAGTGTATTATATCTACAAGGATATTACGGCACTCGAATAATGGTTGATTTATAACTGTCAATTGCAGTAGACACTTTCAAATAAATACAGATGCAATTAAGTGAGGTTCTTCGCAGTCAGTTTCCAAATCACATAGTCGTCCACATGCCCGGAAAAGCACTAGACTGCAGTTTCAGCCTGTTGGGCATCATCAGTAGTGCGCATCCATCGGATCCATCAGGATTCGAACCCATGACCACCAGCGGATTGAACCGCCAGTCAGCAGCTTATGCCACTGGGCCACGGGGGACAGCTTCGGACCGTCGTGATTTACAAGCTAACTGCGAAGAACCTCACTTAATTACATCAAAAATCCCCTACTCATGAGTACATCGAAATACAGATGCCTTTACACCGATCATTGGTGCGATCCAGTGAAGGAAGGACAAACCTTACTAAAGTGATTTCAGTTTTTCATGAAATAGTTTAGCCCAAACGTTCCACAGAAATTGAAACGGTTTCTGTCCATCAAAATTCGGTGAATTGTACGCGAAAAAGTCAACGAAATCGCTAATTCGTCTTCTATAGACATAACTATTCTTAATTTGCTTTAAAATAAGAGCACTATACGCGTTATCGGGAAATGGCTGACGTCGTCCGTTATCGTAGCTGGATTAGGGTTACAATGCATGAATGGTCGGCTGAAGCATTTTGAATAGAGAGGAATCAGTAGAGCGAGTACTAGTACAATAAGAGAAGGTAATTTTGGCAGTTACCTGCTATGAGACTCATTTAGAGGACTGCTCCAATGTGCGATAATCTTTTGTGTGCATCTGTAATTTGAAGGCATCGGTAGTTGTTTGTTCTAACTGTAAGCATTATCGGGAGTTTGCTGTCACTGCAGACTCATTTCACCATGAATTCGAGCAGCTCCCGGTCCAGTCAGCGGCATTGATTTTGTGGAAGATTTGGTAATTATTCGGGACCAGTAAGGGGAATTATTGGGTTTTTGCAAATATTCCTCGTACCTAGACTCAAACAGTCCCCATACATCCGGGTTAACTCTTGCCGGCCATTTCAACTTACTGAAACTCGTCAGTGGCACGCACTTGCCGAATCCTGCCGGATTCGAACCCAGGACTTTACTCTTAGGAGTCAGTGACGGATGCCACTGAACCATCAGTGACAGCATCGTACCGACATGGCTGATATCTACGTTGGAGAGGTGGCCGGCTACCGGATTTAAACCACGGCATTCCGTTTGTGCACACAAACCAAGGAGCAGTGGACACCGCAAGCACTTCGTCAATAATTAATTTCGTTTCTCATGCGCGGCAAATAACATTACAGGTTAACTAGTTTACTTGCAATTAGTAATATTAACACTGTTCCTTTGAAATGCACTGCGCTGAGGGTCGGATTAGCAGGACCACACGCAGCTCATACATTGCTTGTAGTCATGTGTAGATTCTCGTCAGCTACTGATAAATCCTATTGTTTACCAAGTTTCATATAGCAGGCTGTATTTTTAGATCAGAGTGAATTTTGGTGCAGCGCCCACAGTTGCAACCACTGCTGAAACCGGTGGAATGTTTCTTCCACCCAGTGTGTGAACACCGAGTTGAGCGATGTTGATCAACTTGCAGGCGCCAAAGGTGTCTCATTCTTCAGTGAACAGAGCTCACTTAGGATTTCCTTGATGGCAATGCACTACTCTTTTGAGAGCCACCTCTGATCGCACCGCTGCTAGCCAAATGTTTTGGAACTCACACAATGGCCACCCATAGCTTCACGGACAAATTCCCTGCAAAATGTACCGCATATACCACGGGTGCCTATAGGGCCACTGTGCACATATTCGAACAGATTACACCCACGGTGTAGTCTACACGGTGGCGCTGAGCATATATTTTGACAAATCCAACTCTGCTCATGCCGTATTTGTGAATGAACTTTCCATGATCGATTTTTGCTAGTCTAGTGCACTAAAGTTCAGGAATGCAGTAGCCAAAACCGATGGAGCTCATTGGCACAAACGAAGTTACCGGGTGATTGGTCAAAGCTTCTGCTTAGTTGTGCGTTCAAGGGAGTTTTGGACATTTGGGTACTTCATACGCATATAACGGTTTCTCTGGTTCAGCTAGATATGGCTTCCGAAGTACGCCTCCGATCTAAAAGTGTCTCAAGTTTGATCAGTCGTCGTGCGTCACAGTCTATCGGATCTATGATTATTGAAGTAAACGAACACGTTTACTATAAATGTTTGCTTCACCAATGGGCGCATAGAACTCTTGGTCGAAGCGAACCCTACAGTCAAAATGGCGTGGAGAAGTTTGTCAGCCAAACGCCAAGATTTAGACCACTTACAATGGAAGCATTGTTTCTTCGTGACAGACTCAAGTTTAGCAGTTACAGAAAGGCTACTCAGAAGGAGGCGCATGAAGACATAAAGTACCACCAAATCAAGGGTGCATTTGCGGTGGTCAGCCAGCCAAATATGCTCATATTTGGGATCGAGTACCCCAAAAAACGAAGATATGAGTCTTTTGTATTCCCCCACCAAGAGGACGCAAATCGAGTTAAGGAAATTTTAATAGGTATAAAAAGTAGTCCGGACGAAACGATTCCACAAGTCACCTCACTCGATGAGGTGAGCAGCGTCCTCAGCTGTACACCATCTGCTCACGACGATGCATACGCTATTGCCCAACGTCCAGCTCGTTCGACGCCTTCAGTGTCCTCCGTGATACGTAGCATCAACTTAAACGAAAAAGGCAGCATAACTGGTGACAGTAACAGTTCGACCGTCAAACCGTTGATATGTGAAGTGCCCGCGGCTTCAAAGATCATATTTGTCAATTCACGTGCCCAACCAAAATGGCCATTACTAACTCAAAGATCAGGTGTGTCCGCAACATCACATGATTGTAACCAAGTGAAAGCTAGGAGATTGAGTCGTGAAAATTATTATTCGGAACTGAAGAAAACGGAAGAAATTTCCTCAAGGTCATCTGTAACCATATCGGAGCACCCAAGCGCCAAACTTAATGGGTGGGGAAGCAACGTAATTTTTATCGACGTCGACGAAAGTAATCGTTGTCGCATTGTGGATAACGGACCGGTTTATATGTATTGTGAAAGTTACTGAAATCGCAATGTTACAGGTATGGTAAATCGCATTGTATACTTCTCTAAAGCTTGGTACAAAAGGGCTGTTTGATCTAAATGATGCTTTGATTTCACTTAAAATAATGACAGTGGAAATAGTCAATTGTATCTCAACATTTGCTGCTTTAATGACTCTAATAATCGGAAACAGTTGAACATCCTTCCAATTTAGAATACAGTGTTTCCGCATCAAATATATTGTGTTCCTGAAACATACTTAGCCATCTAACAGTACAAGTGCATGAAAATGTTATTTTCTACTTTTCGCACTCAAAAATGCGAGACAACTGCGACGCGTACATTGGTTACAATTCTCGTGATTCCTGCAATGGAGGGCGATAGTAAATATTCTTAACATACTACTACAAAATTTCTGTTTCGTAATAATATTTTTTGAAACGTACTGTAAACTAGTTCACACCTATTGTGATCAAGCATGCAATTATCCGGAAAATAGGGCGCTCTGTCAGTTCCTGTTGAGTTCTATCTGCTATGCGATCGTTATTTAATATCCAATCTTTGAACTAAACTCATAATAACATGGTGTGACCGAGGTTATCAACAAAACCACAGAGCTGTTTGGTTATTTGATAAAAGGCGAAATGTAAACAATTAGCAGACCTGTTCGTCTCATCGATTCGCCATGTACCCTCTGTTCAGACTCGAACGTAGTTTTTGCATTCCGGTAAGTAACAACAAATAACTTCTCTGCCGGTGCAAAAATGACTGATGATGGTTAAGACTTTTGAGAAGATTTCCCATGGCTACACATAAGTAGACAGTGAGCACATAACCATAGAAGCGTAGACGACTCTCTGGTTATGTTCGGATGAAGATGAGCCACCATGATTGGCTGGCCGTTCACCGCCATCACTCATGATTAAGTGGAAAACCATGGGTTGGATCCGCGGATGCGCTCATGGGAGTTAAGGGACTGTTTAGGGCTTTCCGAGGTGGGCGGTGGTTGTTAGGCTGAGTCTGCCTTCAGTGAGTATTCTCAAAGCATTGCAAATCCTCAAAATGTTCTCTGACGACCAACTCATAACTGAAGGCAATTAATCTCTGCTTGGTCGTTGCGCTGCACTGAAGATAATAATAAGACTTCAGTTTTCTGCAATGGCACTCATAGTGATGGAATTTTCCTTTGAGTGTGCATCCGTCACTATACAGCTTAATCGACACCAAATTTGTCTAACTGCTGAGGTTAATTTTAGCCAGGACTCATGTGCCCAATCTAACCCGTGGGTGTCGGATACCAAATTAAAGAATAAGATAACATGATTTAAGTCATCGTTGGTCGTGGTGGTTTGCGTTACTTACAGTTTCTCTTTACTTCTTAATGTTAAGGACGTCTGGTTTCGAAAACGGCACACGAACATATACACCTCAGTCTAAATGAATGTCAACATAAGCTTTACGTATATGGCTGCATGCATATACAGAAATTTATCTATCTCAAGTGCTCTAAAACGACACTATAAAAATTAGAAAATTGCGTACTGGAAAGAAGCATTGGGAGCGCATGTGTCACTAGAATAAGCGGTCTTGAATTTTCGTCCCGCAGATGGTGCAATGTGTATGCTCAACTTTTCGATCAAGAAGTATATGCACCAGTTACAAAATGCCCTTTGGCAACTTTACATGATACGCACAGCGACTTATAATTAAATGGTAAAATTACAAATTACAAAAGCCAAATGAAATTACAAACACTAGCGATCTTGAAAGTAGTCAAAGCAAAGAAAAATTCAGAAATATATTTAGTGTAGATTGAAATATCTGCTGCGGTTAGAGTAAGGGCAAATTTCAATAAAAAGGCAGCGGCTGATTTGAAAGCCACACCACAGTTATTCTCATTTTAGCAGAATCTTCGATACTTTCTCAAGTAAAAGACAAGGAGAATATAGCGTTACTAGATGTAACGTCATTAACTGTGATTCACTTATGTTGGACATTTTGAACAGGTGAGTTGTTACCATCAGAACAAGAGAAAAAGCTACAATCCAAGAGGTGATGAACGTTTAGCGATTTTATGACACCACATTTCTTATACTGCCAATAAAACAGCACTAGCTTACAGGCAACATTCATTCGTTAAGCTGATAAAGGCATCAGTAAATAGATTCCCAGTGATACACAATTCCTGAGCAATTTTAAGGGCAAGCCTTTAATATTATTTTTAGCGGATCACCATGTTTATACTATTGTTCGTTTGTCATTATAGTTAGATCCAAATAGGGAACATCAGTATAAATATTTTGATGTAGGACTGTCACTGAGTGGAAGACACTTTTGACAGATCGGTGGGGATAAGCGACAAAAGCTAACTTATGGTAGCGCAGTTATGGACTGGTGCAACAGACGAGTTTGACATTATTGAGCTAAAGTTTGATTCATAGTTTTGAGTTCACAAGTTCCAGCACAATTCAGTTGCAGGTTACTTCAATGCTTGAACTTCTATCCTAAAGGCACTTCGGAATATTGACTGAATCAACGATATTTGATGAACCGCATGATCGTATATACCTTAGGCTTAGGAACAGGTGATTGCTCATGTAGTTGCTTAGCACTTGCGCAGCAGTTGCAGTTAATGTATCAATTCTTAGCCTATCCGAGCATCGAGTATATTTTCATTGAGTGTGCATTTTACAAAGCAACACACTACAGTATGTGCGGAATATAGGAATTGTGAAGCAAAAACTGCTTAGCCAGTTGCATTAGTTCGTGGAAAACCTAAACATTTGAGCGACTGGGTAGCCGAATGACCAACTCAGATATTTCCCTATCTAATACAAGGTGGCCTATTTCGACTGACTATGACATTTACCGATGACTGGTCATGCAAAGCGAATAGATTGTGTGGATTTCGTGGTTCTTTCTAACTGACATCTAGCTATCATCAGCAAATCGGTTATCGCGTTTTGCTCTCCAATGTTAAGTGCCCGATATGGTTTATCGAAAAGAATGTTCCCTTAGTTGTGAACTTCTGATTTCATGGAAATCCTCACCATATATATATATATATATATATATAGCATCCGTCTAACTTCGTCACGGCTGTTAGGCTACACCGACTTACAGTTAGCCTTTTTCTTGATAACGTGGATTAAATATATTCTTCTGCATTTGATTTGCTCACTTCGGTTACTCTGTTGCATATTCTGTATCAATGTTGCGTGTTTCTTTTCATTCCAATTAGAAATGGGTTGTTTTTTAATAATGGTGGGGCTGCTATTGAGGTTAATGTTGACTAGGTGCCTAACTCTCTATAACCCCCCACCATGATTACTGCTGCAAGGAGCTTGTTCATTGTTGTTGAGGTGGGACGGGTTGCACCGTCCTTGCGACTGTGCCAGGTTTATGGCTTACCCGTCTCCTTGTGTACTTCTGCAACGCTTGATTACCAAAGTAGATGAAATGGAAAGCAGCTGCTTTGGATGTTGAAAGTGTGGGCCGGCTCTGTTAGAGCATCATCACCCAATACACATGCCACTGTCTTAATCCTTTGGGTTTTTACCGGATATGTGGTGTGTGAATGGAGCCGTGAGGGGTTCAGCGCAAGCCACATTGTTCCCCAAAATGCGCAAGCTTCCTGTGGCTGTTTTATGGAGGCCGCAGTGACAGGCAATTCCGGAATCGATCGCCGCTAAACATAGCAAGAACCAAAAGAGGAGTTTTTCCGCATGTTCCTCTTCGTGATAGCAGGATGTTTGGACAACGAAATGCCACCTGTTAATGTTCAGTCTGCTAAGTAACCTGCATAAAAGGAAGGAAGATAATTTCTGATTACCACAGCTGAATTTCTGCATAATATTCCTAAACATATTGTTATATGTGCTTTTGTAGACCTAGCTTAGTATGTCTGGTGATTACTAGCTTTTAATCGCCTCCCTTGCTAGCTCACGTATGACAAGTTTAAACCAGTAGCCGCAGACGCATACTAAGTAAAAAAATTTGTGTGCGGTAAGATACGGGATACAAAACGGGGTCCAGCTAGCAGCCGACTTCCAGTTTGCCTTCGGATGTTTTCTCATCATTCTAAAATATGTTGCGTGATGGCTAGCTTTACCTTGTTACATAATTTGAAAATAATTTTTCCAGTTTAATGGTAGCAATTTATAACATGAATGATGCGCTTTAAAAGCCCAAGGTACTGAGACAACAAGTATAAAACACAGTTTAACAGTGATTTGATTGCAGATCGATGCCTAACCTGCACACTTCGTCAACTTGATGTACTGAACAATACATTTATCCGACTTTTATTTGACTTGAAAGGTAACGTGTCCTCACAGAAGGCGCAAATGAATACTAGCTTATCCGTTAATTTTAGGCTAAGGAATCTGTCGTTTTGTACACTTTTGTTAGCTGAAGTCAAACTTATCTAAGCGATCGATTGGCGGACCAGATTCCACGCATACCAATGTGCCGGTTTTCGCGACGCGTGTAGTATGCACGCATTACAGCTTAGGCATCATAGCTATGTTCATGGTGATCACAAGAACTAGGCTTAATGGCCTAAAAATCTATGTTCCTCTCTTTTGAGCGTACTAGGCTAGTGTGGATAATACTCCTTTTGTCAAAGCGCAACAACAAATTATCTGTTTTCTATCCACTTCGTCATCCAGTTCTGTTGTCGCCCATTGGCTTAGTAAATACTTTAAATCAATAAATAGGAATCCATCGTTACCGGTTGCTCATGATTACCCACCGACATTTTTGTTTGTAAGCATCTAGCCATTTGTACCCAAATAATGATTTCCGCTAACGTACCCAAGCTACTAGTCCCCTGAAGTTTTAGAACTTAATTTACTCTAAATTTTGATAACAGACTGAGAGAGAGAGCTTGCGTTCTACTCACACTGCAAAGATAAGTGCATTAATTGTTTCAACCTTATCAATCAATATTTCATTTTTATCTTTGGACTGTCCCTATTCCGTTGGAATACTGCTTTTTTTGCTGATGATATATATTCACGCATCAAGTTGGGAAATTGCACGGATTGCTTAATAATACAAAGAAATCGTTTGTATATTAATTTACTGGTTAGTGGATCGAAAACTGATATGTGCCTAAGCACGCAGGTACAGTATTATGACCGAATTTTTGAAGAATAATGAATTGGATCAATTTGGCCTACGTGCTA